GGTTTTCAACCAGTGGTACGGGGACAAACTGTCTCGCTCTCGTAATGTCTGTCTGTCTTGCTCTCGTTCTGTCTCTCGTACCACTCTCGGTTCCACTTTTGCTTTTGCGCGCTACCTGTCTCACTCTTTTCCGGCCTCCAGCTTTTCCTGCTGGAGCCCGCCGCTTAAAGGTGGGGGGCGCGGCGGGCCATAGAGCCCATAGAGTTAAAGGTGGTGGCAATTAGCTGTAAAAATCCATAGATTAGCCACATCGGAAAAAAGGCGCGGCTTATAGTCCGAAAATTACGGTACATTTAGTTTCATTTTACAGCTTTTCAACCTGTTTCTATGCAGCGGAGAACACATTATCATGTTATGTAATGCAAGGAAACGGATGTTTACAACAGCCAGTATTAGGAAATTGAAGAAAAAGACTTGTATGTTGGGTTTTGTGGAGTTTATTATTAATTCACTGTCGTATATATGATTGTTTGTTCTATTATGGCTTGTCACTACGAATACTCTGCAGTCTGCATTATTTCATCATCATAATATTACCAACATGATTGAATCCAGCTTAAGCAGAAAGAATGAAAGAAACATCTTTCTGCAGGTTAGAGCAAGTTACAGTGATCACAGCGTGGTAAAGAACATGCAAAAGAGAAACGTTTAGCTAAAATATAAATAAAATAAAAAAATACCCAGACCTGGAATGCTTAAATAGATTTATCACATTTAAGAGTCCCAACTTGAAAAGGATCCTGAGACGGTAAGAAACAGGCACATACTGTAATAGACCTGATCTTAAATATGGTTGGTTAACCCACACAACAAAACAAAAAGAGATCTCTGGTATTTGTGTGATGATACTCTAGTTAAGAAGTAGCTGCGTTAAAAAAGAGGGACAAATCCCGTCGTATTTTCCCCCTTGCTTGCGCTGATGGTTGTCTGAAGACATCATTTGTGGAGCCATGAAGTTAATAAAGGTAACATAATAAGTTAAATTAATAATTTATCTTGTCTCCTCGCAGTGACGTGTTGGGGGAGTTTATGGAGGGGCGAGGTGCCTCCACACCCGGGATCCTCACCCTGACCACCGGCCTCAGTAAACCCTTCATGAGACTCGCCAAATACCCAAACCTACTCAAAGAGCTGGAGAGGCACATGGAGGTGTGTATCTAAGCATCTGTGTGTGCTTCTGTTGATATGTGTGTTTATTTTTCACAACCATGTTCTTTCTCTTTCCAGGAGAGTCATCCTGACCGGCCAGACATTCAGAAGTGCATGGCCTCTTTCAAGAATCTGTCTGTAAGATGATCTCACTTCCTCTAATCAGTCTTAATATGATATTAAATGTAATAATAGCCGGTCGTTAAGCAGCTGTCTGTTTCCGTCGTGTCAGGCTCAGTGCCAGGAGGTGAGGAAGCGTAAGGAGCTGGAGCTGCAGATCCTCACCGAGGCCATCCGGCTGTGGGAGGGGGACGACATCAAGACCCTGGGCTCCGTCCTCTACATGAGTCAGGTGTTGGTGCAGAGTCCCGGCTCAGAGGTACCAGCACCATCCACATCCTCCACATACTCACTGTGCTACAAACTGCTTCATATATTGCTACAAATGACTAGGGTTGCTCTCCATAAGTCAACCAAGATATATTTGTTCTTCCTTTTTGAGTAACTAATGAGCACATCTCTGGTCAAAGACAAAACTAAAGTGTTGCTTATTTATGATTCTTTGTGGAGAAACTAGGTTTTACCGATTTGTCGATGAAAATAACGAATCAATTATTCTCCAAATCGTGTGAGTTTTAGTCATACAAGAATTTCTTTAGTGCAGGACAGCCCTAAATAGTAGTGTACATAATACCAATAATCCAATGATATATTTTATTGACATCTTTTGCAGTTAGTGCTTGCATGTTGGAAATTAGATAATTAATTCAGTAAACTGTTTGAGAGTTTCTTGATACTAAAATGAAGTAAAAAAAAAAACATTAGTTATAATCCAAAAACAAAGTATAATGCATAACCGTTTGACGCCCTGTGGTTTTCTGTGTTTGCTATTGTAAATAAATATTATATTAAATGAGAACTTTTTGAAATATGAGCCTGATAATGACTTGACACCAACAGCTGATATCTTTTAATGTGATTGTGGATCTTTGAACTGCACTAGCTTCTGGTCTTATGTATCTCCTGAGCGGGATATATATATTTTTTAATCCTCTGGAGCAGAGAGGAGAGCTGTGGATTATTGTTATTGATTAGTGCAGGGGTGTCAAACTCAATTTCATCGCGGGCCACATCAGGGTAATAACTTAGTAATTAACTACGTCTGAAAGCAGAAGTCCAGGGCAAATAATTACAAGTTTCTTCAGTGCGCATCTCACAAAACGAGATGCATTGTGGGAAATGTAGTTGGGCAACCTGCTTCTGTAAAGTGGCATGTAACCGTATAATAAACTTATTATATTCTTTGCAAGCTCTTGCGGGGCCACATCAAATGAAGTCGCGGGCCGGATTTGGCCCCCGGGCCTTGAGTTTGACACCCCTGGATTAGTGCATCAGTGTTTCTTAGGGTCAAAAACACTAAATTCACAACTTAAAACGAAAACGTTAAGTTTATTTAATAAAAGAGCACATGTTCAATGTGACAGTAGATATAGATTAGTTGCAATTTGGTTCCAAAAAAAAAAAAAAAATTAATACATTTTTTTATATATATATTCTTTTTTTTTGAACACCTTGAATTTCAGGGGGGGCGCGGGGCTACATTGGCGGGGCGCAGCGCCCCTCCAAGATAATGGTAGGGGAAACACTGTGTATAATAAAGTATTTATACAAACAGGACAATATACCAAATTATTATCTTGCATTCACACTTTCCTTTCCCCCTCTGTTTCTCTTACTTCAGGAGAAGAGTGAGCGTTACCTCATGCTCTTCCCTCACGTCCTCCTCATGTTGTCTGCCAGTCCCAGGATGAGCGGCTTCATATTCCAGGTCAGTAATCAACATCTCCTCAGTGTTTAATCTTTTAAGTTTTCCCTGCAGTGTTTAAACTTAGTGGTTGAAAATGAACTTCTCTGTCTTAATTCTGATGTGTGGATTTCTCCGTGCAGGGAAAACTGCCCCTGGCCAGCATGACAGTGACCAAACTAGAAGACTGCGAAGCCCATAAAAACGCATTTGAGCTCAACGGTAAGGCTACATGAGCATAATAATCACTAACCTTTATCTATATACTACAAAGTGTGTCTCAAAGGCAGCAAGTTAAAAACAGACAAGTCCTAAATCATCATAATACGATGAAAACAGAACAGAAAATAGGAACAGACTTTTTATATTAGGTTAAAACACAAGTTTAATCAGGAAAGGCTTTCCCATAGAAAAACATTTTAAGAAGGGACTTCACGGAGATTAATTAGTGGGGCAGATCGTTCCAGATCCTGCGGGCGCTGACTGCAAATGGTCTCTCCTTTTTTAGTTTTCAGCCTCTGAAATAGAAAAAAGGATCTTGAAAACACACATGGTAGTAGGAAGTCAGAGCTAAAGCTGGGAGAGAGGACATTAAGAGCCTTTAAAAGAATAATTAAAATCTATCAAAAAACATACTTCTGTACACTCTGGAGTCAGTCATCAGATTATTGTAGGAAGGCTGTTGCAGTAATACAGGCATGATGAGATTAAAGCGTGTCAAATAGTTCCAGTATCTTTAAATTGGCCCACAGAGAGGGAAATTCATATTCTTACATCAAACGGACAGTGAAGATAAAAAAGCAGATACAATAGGTTGGCTTACACATTACATAATGAGGCAAGCGCACATTAAAAACATCAAATAAGAACACATCCATGGTAAAAAAAACACTAAATAAAAATAGGAATGAATAGGAGCGAATAAAGTATCACTGGCATTAGGATGATAAAAACATGATGTGCACTCGCTTCCTAGTGTGCCACAACAACAATTACTGTCAAACCAGACTCCAAAATGCCTTGCAACAGACTTGATATGATCTTAAAGATAACCATTACATAACTTAATTTGTTTTCCAATGACAAGGATCTCTGTTTAGTTTGAGTACAGCTGAAGACATCATCTTGACAAATGCTGAAGGAAATTCATTTAATCCTGAATGCTTTTATAATGTACTGACTCCCTCCCTCTCTGCAGGCACGATGTTTGAGCGTCTGCAGGTGGTGTGCACCAACCAGCAGGACCTGCAGGACTGGGTGGAGCACCTGAGAGGGCAGATCAAGCACACCGCGGCCACCGGGCCCAGCCACAAACCCCTCACAAATCCCTGCCACACGGTCAGGAGATGATCCTTATAAACCCTCATACAGATGGTTTCTGGTTTTTATACCCAGTGTGCATGTTGATCTGCCATTAATGCCTGGGTCACATCATCATCTAAAAGTACTGCACAGCCCTGTGTTAAGTGGCTCTCTCTAGAAGGGCTGCAATACACAATTGAATGCAAATACATCATTAACAGCATTCAGTCTTATCCTTTGAACCTACCAACAAACAAACAAACAATAATCATCATTTTTATTTACAATAATATATTTATATGCTGGTGGTTGCATATTGGAAAGAGGTAAATGTTATCATTTAAATCTGCAGGGTTTCTATTAATGGAAATGTAATGGTGTTACATGGTGTTGCATGCAATACGAGGCTTTCCTGTAGAGGTACTTTTGGCATTTTCAAATGGTAATAGACGATTGTTTTTTTAAAAATGTATTTAGGCTTATACCTTTCAGGGGTTTCCAAACTTTTCAGACCGCGACCCCCCAAATAACAGTGCCAGAGACAGGCGACCCCCTGTCTGCGGAGGGGTGCTAGTGAATTAATTTCAGTTTTCCGCACTCTCGCGGGAGTGTCATTATTGTCTCACTAGTCCGCCCCTGAAAATGTCTATGCAAAAGTTATTATTAATAATAATTGTAAAAAAAAATATATAAAAAATATTAATCTATTTATTTATTTATTTTTCATTTTTATTTTGTAATCATGTCACGACCCCCACTCGGGGTGTCGCGACCCCCACTTTGGGAACCCCTGCTTTAATAGATGATGTTAGAACATATCCGGTTTCCTTTACTTTATTTATTTAGATTATATTTTAGTGTATGTGTAACCGGTTTCGTTAAGCGGTCTCTGCGTTGTGTTTTGCGTTGTTCATGGATGACCCGAGCAAGCATACAGTTTTGACGATCCCCGTTTCATTACTGAGAATCTGACAACAGATATAATGATCAGTTTTACATTAGGTTTCCCTCACAGTGACTCCTCTCACGTGGAACGTTTACAAAAAGGGAAGAGGAAACGTGAGGGACACAATATATAGGGGGGGAAAGTCCTCACAACAATAATCTCCTGAGCACAGCGACCACACTTCAGAGGTTCCGCCCACTGATCTCCGACCTTGTCAGGTATTGAACATTCAATAAAATGAAGAACACAGAATGACTTAATATAAAACACAGAATTTGTGTGATTATACAAAATGATTTACAAATAAACCCCACTGCATATTTACAATTGTTACATCTGTGAACATTCCAGTTAATTGAGTCTAGCCGAAATATCCCCTCAGTTCTTTCTTCAAAACCCTTTAGTCGTCTTTATTAACTTTAACTTAAGATAAAGAGATTTTTCTAACCTTTTAATTTTTTCTAACTACATATAAGTCTTGCCTTTATATTCATCAAAGATACTGCATGTTGATAAAGTCACAGTTAGTGTTCAATCGCATCAATCATGGAAAAAAAGATTGTTGATGAACACATTTAGTCATATTTTTAGTTCGTAAACAAATACTGGAGTAGACTTGGAGGCAGAACAGACACGCATATACCCCATCTGTCCTGGGATACATCTCGGTTCCCCCTGGAGGTGCTGCAGGAATGAACTGGGGAATATGACATCTGGGCTACTGAGGGCTGCGTTTCCCAAAAGAACCGCAATGTTCATGAACATTTTAGGGAACAGTGGGTTCGTCAATGTTTTCCACACTGTCGCTATATTTGAAATGCACCTCTTGGTATTTTTCTGCCACTGTCAGCCAGAGTTTCTACCTGAAAAGTTTATACTAGACAAAACATTGAGTGATTCATCTACTTGTTGTTAATTAAAAACATCTTTATGTCCACTTGGGAAAAATGTTTCTGCCATGGGTTGAATATACTGTAGGAAAGTAAAGCGATGAACAATTAACAAATGGGGAAATGAAGCAGAATTGTCTCTTTTGTGATTTCTGTTTTTGTTTGGTTCCTCAGCTCCCGTCTCACCCTCTCACCCCGTCCCGGCATGCTGAAGGGAGGGGCATGACGGTAGCTCCCACCTACCACACCCTGCCTCACCCGTCCTCCCATGGCTCATCTCACAGCACCATGATGTGGGGCCCACTGGAGCAGCCCAACACCCCCAAACCCTGGAGCCTGAGCTGTCTGCGACCCGCACCCCCTCTACGCCCCTCTGCAGCCCTCTGCTACAAGGAGGTGAGAGACTGGGTTTTTATGTTGTCAAGACTTCTTTATATGTTTTTAAGTATGCTGATTTTATAATTGATTTTATACCACCTTTTTTTCTTTTTTCAGGATCTTAGTAAAAGTCCTAAGAGTGTGAAGAAACTGCTTCCCAAGCGCAAGCCTGAGAGGAAACAGTCTGAGGAGGAATTTGCCTTGAGGAAGAGTATGTTTAAAATCGTTCCTATTTATGTTAAAAAAAAGATAAAATATGTCATTTTCTCTTTCTTTACTTTGAATATCGAGGCAATAGTTTGACATTTTGTGAAATGGCGTGTTCCCTTTTTTACGAGAGAGAAATTAGATTAAATAACACGTCATATCTGTCCGTTAAGTAGGAAATACAGCCTGGAGACTTTCTATCTTAGTTTAGGAAATCATATCACACAGATCCTTCACATTGGCTTAGGAAATAGCGATCATGTTACTGGAATTCACAAGAAAACCTCATACTGCCACTTAAAAAACAAGATGTAATGTGTTTGTTAGTGGGCTTACGAGATGCTTAGAGGTGCATCCATATTCTCATATCACTCAGGAAAAAAGTAAATAAGTATACCTCCCACATTTTCAAACTATTCTTTAAAAGTTTTCATATGCATTTCTTTTGTGTTTTAAGTAGGAGTAAAACAGTTACCATAGAACTGATCGACATGAGAATTTAAATGAATGATCTCCTTTTTCTTTCTCAGGTACCGCTGCTCTGGAAGAAGATGCCCAGATCCTGAAAGTTATCGAGGCATACTGCACCAGCGCCAAAACCAGGCAGACTCTGAACTCCAGTAAGCCAACACCAAACGTAACATGCAGAGGTTTCATACTGGAGCTTGCTCTCTGTGTTACTCACCTGTATTCTGTAACTCAAAGCCTTTCTTTAACACTGGTGTTCTGAACTGATCTTTCTAACAGTATCTTCTCCTTCTGTCTGTCTCTCCTCCACTCCTCACATTTTTGCCATTGCTCTGTTCCTTCTTTTCCTCATCCATTTTGGTTTTACGTTCTCCCATCTTACATTTCTCATTGCTTCTTTTATGATTTACCATTTGTCGCGTGCTCCATTTGCTACCTCTTCCTCTGCACCGCCCCTCGTTTTTTTTTTTTTTTTCGCACACCATTTCCTCTCTCGTCACCGCCAAACTTTACCCCGCCCCGAGCAGCCTGGCAGGGCACGGATCTGATGCACAACCACGTGCTGGCCGACGTGGACCGGTCCTGTATGGACTCTCCGGGCCGCCGTAGCAGCGTGTCGCGGCCAGAGTTTTCCTCTGACCTCTCGGAGGACTCTGACTATGACTCCGTCTGGACCACCCACAGTTACAGGATGGGCTCAGTGCCGCGCAAAAGCTGCATCTCTCACCAGAACTAAAGAACATACAGCACTGCCACGCTGTACCCGATGTAACGTACAGCGAGCTTACCTCTTTAACCTTCAATGTTTGAAAAGAAACTAGATTTTTTGTAATGTATCTATTTATTTTCTATTATATATATGTTATTTTTTGTTAACTTATTTGGTTTATTTATTATTTTACACTGAACAAAAAATATAAATGCAACACTTTTGTTTTTGCTCCCATTTTTCATGAGATGAACTCAAAGATCTAAAACATTTTCTA